CAAAACTCGGAATTTATATATAAAAGCAAAGTCATATAAACTACAACAAGTAAATAACACTTATCTCTAATTCCTCCCCAAGTAAACTCCTCGAAGTTCTTCTGAATCTCTTTATTTCTTACAGCATAGAATTTCTCTTTGAAACGGCAAGGAGGAAGAAATCTCTCACTTGCGCTCCACTCTTACAATCTCTCAAAGAATTCCTCACAATCTAACCCTAAATTAAACTCTCTACACACTATTGGAACCTCTTGGACGCTGTTCCTCCGGAGCCTCCCTATCAATTTTCGGCCAAAATCTTCTTTTAAAGTTGTAGAAGAGTTTTTCCCCCCCAACCCCCCCGCCAAAACTCACCCCCGTTCAACGCACCTTTTAAATTCCCCGCCGGTCTCGCCGTCGGCGGCCTCGAGGGCGCCATCGGCGAGCCTTCTAAAATATTTGATCTAGAGTCTAAGGAAAATCTCACCGTCTGCGCTGTTGAGCTCGCTGTCGGTGCCCCAGTTCAAATCTTCATATGTTGGTCCTTTTCGCTCCAAATTCGCTCCTTTTTGCATCTTTTTGCTCCAATGCCCATAATTCATCATACCTGCAATAAAACATCAAAAATACCTTTCTTTAAAATGCAATATCATCAAAAATAGTGTAAAACAAGTATGAAAATCTCAAAATATTTTCTTTTGGTCAGTTAGTCAGTACCTCCACCAGGTCCGCTTGAGTATTCTCTAAATCCAGATGCTGCAATGAGAAGGAAGTTCACATGGTAGATAGCACTGTTCTACACTATTTCAATTGGTTTTCTAAGGTCACATTTTCTTCAATTTTATAATCAAATCTTCGTTTGTTTTTGCTCTGAAAGAACTTGATTTTAACAATTATGAATTACACTTTCAATAAGAGACTAAACCTCAATCAAGACCCTTCTTTTTCATCATCTAAATAAACTAATTTTATATCAAATATATGAAACAAATATAGAACAAAGGTAATTGACACATGTAAAGAAGACTTACATACTCAATTTGATGGTATTTAGCTCATGAATGATTCAACATACCCTCTAGAATATGAAATTTTGAAGGACTTGTTGAAAGGTTTTTGTCTCGTCATTCCTCTTACTTACTTCAAAGGAAGAATCTCACAATCACTATTCTACAAGGGTAGTAGGAGATGGTTCAAGGCATATATTCTCAGATTTCCTTAACATCATGGTGTGAGATCTTTCAGGACGGATGAAAATGCCTGTTTGGAATATGAATTTTTCATTCACAAAGTTATTGAAAATTTGAACCTCAAATCGTAGTTCTTTGAAGTCGTGAAAAATCATACATCATTGGTATCTCATCTATCAAAATTTAAGGAGAAATGGAGAGCTCCTGTAATTTCACTCGACTTTCATGAAACCCTTATTCATTTTTTTAAATAAAACCCACCAAGCCAATTCCTTATTGGATCCTCCATGGAAAGATCCAATACTTTTGCTGTTGAAAGATATACTATCATATACACAATTAATGAACTTGAAGATCATGGCTAAGACCCTTGTGTTAACTTAGCTCATCATTTTTTGAAGAAAGTGATTAACCCGACAACGATCATCATGACTTGAAAAGAGAACCACTAAATACTAACCCTGACAACTGATATAACATCCATCAAATCGTTACTAATAAAAAGAACCAATGCATAGACTAAGTAGCTATCATTAAACCCATAGTTCATACCAAATCCAACATCTAGAATGAGAGTATATATATATATATATATATATATATATATATATATATTAAAAAAGGAATCATAATATCATGACCCAATTTTAATCATAAACCTAAATTAATAATGTGACATTACCATTAAACTCAACTAGTACAAGATTACATAATGTTAATTTACAAAAAAAAAAACTTTTAAAACCTTAAAATATATGATAAAACAACAAAATATTCAACAATATATGAAGCAATAAAATCACCAAATTTACATGCAGATAACCTTACAAAATTAACACACAACTTTTTTTATCATAAAATTACATTTTTTTTATTTGTAGTTAAATTAAAATTCTATTATAAATATTTCTTGTCAAATTTATGACAACAACATAATATTATGACATTTATCTAAAATCACTAAATTGAAAATGGCTGCAAAAAAAGAAAAAAAAAAGAAAAAAAAAACAACAATTGGGTTGTATGTACATTACCAGTGAGAACCAAGATGCTATCGTCCGTGAACTGGAACTTCTCACAAAGAAAGTATCGCATGCACTTCACATCATTAACAGTTCCCTTCAACTGATACGACTTGAGACTATAACTCACGCCCACCAAAACCGCCCTTTTCTTCGCTCGATTTGCCGGAAAACTCGCCGGCCAGTTCATCGCCGACCCAACCCTATCTCCAATTTCCCACTGCCGGTAATCAATAGACGAAGACTGCATTTGAGATCCAGACCCGAAAACTGCATTTGAGAACATGCCCCTCAGCCATCCTCTGAAGCGACGAATCCGGTCATGCGAACTCTGGAGCCTTGTCGTCGTTTGACAGGAGTGGCAATAGAACGTGGAGGAGAGTGGTGGCACGAGGATGCGGTTGCCGCAACTGCCGCACGGCTCTGATCTGCTGCGGCCAAACATGGCTTTCGTTCGCCTTTGGGTTTGTGGAGAATCTGATTATCTGTGCTTTGAGTGCTCGGGTGAATGGAATGGTATGTTTGGGACTATATGGTTTGGTGTATGAAGGGATTTGCATTTGCTTTGGTTGATGTTGATTTATTTGTTATTCTTGCGGATAGGTGGTGGAGGGAATTGGATGCTTTGTCCAGGTTCGTTCTTTCTTTTATGGTTTCCTTTTTGTTTAGGGAATGATTCGAAGGAAAAGTGAGGAGGTACGTTGAGTGGGACGGGCGAAGCCATTGTTAAAGTTATGTTTAATGCTTAGTTTGAGAGAGCGCTTATTTCGTCCCGGAGAAAGAGCGGCAAGCGGAGTCTAATGCAAGCTAGTCACGTGGAATTCTGGTACCTACTGCAACAGGAGTTAAAATAAATAAATTAAAACAGGCGACCCGGCCTGTCCGAAACCCGACCCCGCCCAAGAGCGAAAAAGTGACTTTTTGTTCGTATAGATAATCTCGCCAAGTCTTCCGTCCCATTTTATGTCGCCACCAGTCCAAAACAAGCGGATTCTGTCGAGCTGATGTGTTCAATTCATCCAGAGACGAAGAAATATTAATCATGAAATCATTAAATAATGTCAAGAAGCTTAAATCAGAGGTGAGTTTGCTTTAGTTTAGAGTTTATTTTACTGTTGCATTGCTTTGTTATGTTGGTTCTAGCTGGTTTTTGCTAGGGCTGTGTTTTTGTTGTTTGTTTTATTTATAGTTTTGTGTTGTATTATTGTCGTATTATTGTTGTATTATTGTTGTATTATCGAGATGTAATGTGGTGTTATAGTTTAGTTTTTCTAGTGTTATAGTGGTGTTATTATTAGAGCTTAGGGTATAGTGTTATTGTTTAAAGTTTAGGGATTATTTTGTCTTAGTGGTGTTATTATTGTATTATTTTTGTATTATTGTTGTGTTATTATTGTGTTATTGAGGTGTTATGTGATGTTTAAGTTTACTTTTTTCTAGTGTTGTAGTGGTGTTATTGTTATGATTTAGGGTTTATGGATTGTATTGTTTTAGTAATGTTATCTTTGTAATATTATTATATTATTCCCGTGTTATTATCGTGTTATTTAGGTGTTATGTGATGTTATAATTTAGTTTTTCTAGTGTTATAGTGGTGTTATTATCAGAGCTTAGGGTGTAGTGTTATCGTTTAGAGTTTATGGATTGTATTGGATTGTAGGGTGTAGTGTTATCGTTTAGAGTATATGGATTGTATTGTCCTAATAGTGTTATTTTTGTATTATTTAGGTATTTTTGTCGTGTTACTGTTTATGTGATAAGGTGTTATGTGATGTTATTGTTTAGTTTTTCTAGTGTTACAGTGGTGGTGTTGTTTATGAATTGTATTATTGTAGTGGTGTCCTACTATAGTATTGTTGGGGTGTTATGGTGATGTTTTTGTTTAGTTTTTGTAGTGTTATGATGATGTTATTGTATAGTTTTTGTAATTTTATTGTGTTGTTATTTTTACCTTATATTTATCTAACCATCTTTAAATTGGGGTGGTGATGTGCAATGCAATGATCCAATCGCAGAGACGTTTCTTCGCACCGTTGTGCACAATAATCAAGAAGCATATGAAAGTTACTGTGCCTATGCACATCATGTAGGCTTTTCTGTTAGGAAGGATTATAACAGTTATTGGCCAAACTCGAAGAAGATTAAAACTAAAGATTTTATTTGCTGAAAGGCTGACTACAAGGAGTCAAGCCTGACGGATACTGTGAAGTTTGGAAAAGTTGACACGAGGACTGAATATCAGACCATGGTTAGATATGTCATTGATGTTGAAGGAAATTGGACTATAAATAAATTCATTGAAAGTCATAATCACCCTCTTGCCGAAAGCGGTGATAAACATCTTTTGCGTTCTAGCAGAAAAATAAGTGAGTTAAATGCAAATTTGATGAGATCAATGACAGGAGCAGAGATTAAGCAATAAATGCATATAACTTTATGGCTATGGAGGTTGGGGGGTGGAGAACCTAGAATGTAAGAAAAGAGATGCATACAATTTTATTCAAAGAGAAAGAAGGGAAAAATAGAGCAAGGAGATGCCAATGCTCAAATACAATTGTTCATGGAGAGACAAGTTGAGTATACCATGCTTGTTTGGGATTTTGAAAATGATGAGTGTGGCAGCAAGTTTTTTCTGGAGCGTTGGATTATCTAGACTTGATTATGATTGTTTTGAGGACGTAATAATTTTTAATACAGACTATCGATTAAATAAGTATAATTTATGCTGTGCTCCGTTCGTGGGGGTGAACCACCATTGGCAAAATGTCCTCTTTGAAGTGGGTTTTTTGTCGAATGAGACCATTGATTCCTTCAATCGGTTATTCAAAATATTTATCCGAATAATAGGTGACAAGTATCCAATGACAATTTTCACGGATCAGAATCAATCGATGGCTTGAGCTATTGAAGATTGTCTCCCACAGACACAACACAGGTTATGCTAATGACATATATACAAGAAATTTCCTTCAAAAGTGCATTGTGCTTTGGGTGTGAAGAATGTGAGCGATCTCTTTTATAAATGCATGAACAAGTGTGATACCGAAGAGGAATTTGAAGGAATTTGGGCTACTATGATTGAGATGAGGAACCTCCACAACAACATGTGGTTAACGAACATGTACAATATCAGATATAAATGATCTACAACCTTTGTTAACGAACATGTACAATATCAGATATAAATGATCCACAACCTTTAATAAAGAAATATTTGACATGAGAATATTATCAACACATCGAAGTGAGCCCACAAATAATATTTATTATGGTGTTTCAAAACCCACTAGCTTTCTAGTTGATTGTTTTGTTGGTTTTGAAAATATCATGAAATTATGACGTCGGAATAAGAATGATGAAGATTTAAAAAGTGATCAATCGGTCATTACGCCCGTGGTAAAAGACAACCCATTTTTAAAGCAAGCTGTCACCCTTTATTCGAGAAAATTTTACTCCGTGTTCCTTGAATGCTTTCCAGAGAGTGACTTTGTGGATTGACAATTGACTTTGTGGATTGACAATTGAATGATTTCCAGAGAGTGACTTGGAATATATTGTAAGGAATTTAGATAACCAAGGAGGAAACAAACACTGGACTGTGAAACTTGACAAGTCAATTCCGAGCTCACTTATGGTTGTAAAAAGTTGGAAATGATGGAGATATTATGTTCTCACTCACTTTATGTGCTTAAAGTTAATTCCCCAGAAATATTTGTTAATCCAATGGTCTGCTCACGCTAAAAGGAACATGTATAACAACATTGGTTACGAATATATAAAGGAATCGCAAACGAGCAGCGGTTTTGCAAATGATCTACTATTTCGCTCACACTCTCACAAGTTTGCATACCGACTCATTAATAAAACACAGTGAAATAAAACAACTGAGTAGATGATTTGGGAAATATTTAAACATATATCTGGAGATATTGATAATGCATTAGCTTGAAAACCACAAACAAATTAAAAATTAAAAAAGAGAAAAACATCAAATGCCCAAATCAATTTGAATGACCCGACAAAGATGAGGTCGAAAGGAGTTTCTACATCTAGGTGGAAAAGGTATTGGGAGAAAAATAAAAGGTAAAAAAGTATATATTTCAATATTCTAAGATATTTTAATCATTGCATTATTGTTTTTCTCTAACCTAAATCATTGTATTTAAGAAAATATCAAGAAGCATCAACAAGCCAAGATCCCGGTATACCATCCGATGCAAATTTATTTGATATACCAGATTGTCTCAGTCAGATATATAACTGAAACTCAGTATCATATAACATAAAGGTTAGTGGCATGAGCCCTTCTATTTCATTTTAATTTCTCAATTATTTCAAGAATATGATGCAACGCAACTAACACAAGGATATGCCAAACTGTTGATGGGTTCAATAAGTGATCTATATCTGTAATATTATCGAGTCCATGCATTTCAACAACACTTCTGAAGTGTTAATCACTAAGTGATCTAGATGTAATTTTTATGGTTGTTTACTAAAATCATTTTAATAAATGTTTTCATGATTCATTAATGGTATATTATATTATATGTTATATTATTAAATTAATTATATATAATACATGTTATAGTATATGTTATTAAGTAATTAATATAAATTGTTATATTGCTAATCATATCAAAATATATTTATATGAAATGTTCAAAACTTATAAACACTTATAAAATTAATAAATGTATATATTATTAATTACTATATTAGCCAAATAATATTTATGAAGTTAAAAACTAAATAACACATTCATAACTGCTCGTTTTTAATAAAAAAAAGGTTAAAATCGCACTATAACACTTAATAGCCGCCCGGACGTGTTATACCGCCGCTCTATAATGCATGAGGAATATTCCTCATGTGCTATAGCGCTGAACTCACCGCGTTATAACACATGTCTGCGTTATAATACCACGGGCATATGTGTTATAGGCGGCGCGATAACACATGGAGAATATTCCCCATGTGTCATAACATGGGACTATGTATAACCTATGGGGAATATTTCCCATGTGTTATACCACCTATAACACCTCAACTCGCGTTATTATAACGCAAGCCCGTATTATAACGCAACCTTTGTTATGCGGCTAGCCGTTATATAACACTACTTCTCGAGATATTATAACGTGTGATTGTGTTATAACACGACCTTTTTACACTGCGATATTGAGCATGACACAAGCCTGCCTGTGTTATAACGCAAAATTGACGCGTTATTTACAGTTAATATTGCATTATTTATCAAATTTGACGTGTTATTTTTAAAATTATCGTGTTATACAACAAAATTGAGGCGTTATATTCAAAATAAAGTGTTATAACGTATTATTGACTCGTTATTTATCTAAAATCAGGTGTTATACACAATATTGAGGCGTTATTTTTAAATTTATCTTATTATATGACATTATTAAAATAGTTACCGTAATAAAGTTCTTTCTTATTTATCCTTATTATTAAATTTACCGTATTATATGATGTTATTTTGAAATTTATTTTGAGCATATAGTTATTTCCTATTTATTAACATTGTAATTAAAATAGATACTTCTTAACATATTAAATTGTAATTAAAAGTGTTATACCGTAATACATTTTTAAAATACATTTTTGCATTCGAAAGAGACGTTAAAACAGATGAAACAATTTATACATGGCATAGACAAAATAGACAACAAAAACACAATTCATAACATGTATATAAACACATTTTTAATTATTTTTGTTCTCAGATCACATACACACGACATAGACAAATTCAGTTCTAAATCTCTCAATTTCTTGCTGCCAGTTCAGATACGGAGTCTAATCAGTCTCTTGTCCTTGTGCCAACACCAAAATTTTCATAAATTTGCATACAAACATACCACAATCAACATTATTACTTTGCGTTGGTATGCCTCTAACAAGTGTAAGTCCCCATATGTCGCAGGTTTTGCTCTACCAAAAGCCTTTGCAGCATCCTTTGCAAATAGCTTCACCTGTAAAGGGTATGAGAGTATTATTTCTGTGATATTGGGTGTTATTGCTGTGTAAAATGTTTGAAATATACTTACAACTTGGTTGACAACATCCTTATGCACATTGTTGGGCAGAGAGTCGTATAATTTTCATTTTCTCAACTCAATTTCAGCTCTCCCCAGCTCTCCCACCAACAAAGTCCAATGACCGTTATGAATTATAGGAAATAATATAAGTTGTGCTTTCTTTATACTTTCCTTCGTGATGTGTTTCAAGAAAGTTGCGCTATCAAAATTTCTAGCATTTGCAGAAGATGATAAATTGACCAAAATCTACTACGAAAGTACGATTAAAATAATTATGAATAAATTAAACAATGACAATTACCCAATATTACAACGTTACAAAGATATACGACCTGTATAATGCAGGGGACCTGACAATTCTTTGACGCAATATGTCAGCAAAAACATCAACATGTTCGTTTCCAAATCACCCGTTTAGCAAGTCATCCTCGAGGCCGGCTCGGTCAATTGCCCTCCCAAAACTTTTATTTGCAAGAAAATCATGCCTGCATATTTAAGATACCAAGATTGTCACATTTAAATAACAAACTATTGCATAATATCAAAATTGCTGTCAGAAGTTACTTACATCCCCGTTTATGTGGCAATGCAGTCATCGATAACATCAGGATATTCTAGGTAAGATGCTGCAATACGAGGTTGCAGAATAAAAAAAATAATTATAAACTCTAACTATATAATTGAAATATAAAGGGGTTATTTTTTATATCACTATCACATGACTCTTAGCAATGAAACTGGTGCTCTGGCTATTGATCACTATTGGGTTGCTTTGTAGTCCCTGGTTAATTATAGCGGACGTCATCACAATCTCCTTTAGATTTTTTTCGGCTTGAGCCGGAGTTGTCTCTGCCTCAAATGACAGTATATCTAACACCATTATTGCTTGAGGTTATTGAAAAAATGACAGTTCCAAATTTATTTCCGATTGCTGGCCCTTTGGGTCTTCCGTATCTACAACAGCTGTAACATGACCCTACACAAAGGAACAAAAGGTTTAAACATATTATAGGAGAACACAATAAAATGAGTTGTTTACCGTAAATGACACAATATCAAGAACATGATGTGTTGTTCGTTCGACTGTATAGGGTTCTTCCGGTAGTGTCCCATCCCCTGTTACAACATTGTTCTATACAACATTTATTTGATCTTGTCCCTCTTGGGTTTCATTATCTACAACGGACGATGCAAGATGAACCTACAAAAAAATAAAATTTCTTAAAACTATCAAGTATGATCGAAATAATGAGTTACTGAAGGGAAGAGAATGAGATACTTACCGTATGGGACCGAGAACCAAGAAGATTCTGAGTAACAACTTCACCGGGCTCTTCTTCCAATGTGTCATCCCGAGCAACAAGAACTTCAGCGGGCTCTTCGATATGAACCGGTAAATTCTCATTAATTTTGCTCCTTTTTCTTTTCACATCTTTGGACTTACTCTTTCGGTGAATTGCATGCTTTTTATCTGCTTTGATTTCTTCTAGTCTCTTAACCATAGCTGTTAGAGCGGACAATGACTTCAACGTTAGTTATCTGTTTATTCATTGTAAACATGGATTTCTGCACACTCAAACTTATTTGTTCTTAAGCCTTAAGTAGTTCGATTATTCCTTCAAGTTCATTTTCTCTTCTTCTATACGTTGCTTCTGAGGTTACCTCGCTTGAAACAATTGGACCAACACTCTGTGATTTGGGTGACGGCGGTATGACAGGAGTTTTACAACGAGTAGTACAAGGAAGAGTCATAGCAGGGCTGGGTGGTCTATGATCAGGATTAGACAATAAGTGCAGCTCATATTCCTTCAAGTCGATGAAAGTGTCATTAACCTACATTAAAAATCACATTGTTTTACCTAGTTTAGTAATCCAACATAGAAACAAAACTTAAATAAGTAAATTCTCATTACTTACCTGTACATGATCGAGCACCCTAAAAACTTCCTGAATCTGTGGTGTTGTCCACCCATAAACTTTTGGCCATCTTAGCATGTGTTGTTTAACATCAGGTGCAGTAGGAGTAAATAGAGTTGTGTACTCAAAAAATCAAAGCTGCAGATGACATATCAAAAATCAATGTCACAAGGCAAAAAAAAACTAAAATAATAAATGAAAAGAAAAAATTTTAAATGCGGTAAATATGAACTTATAGATAAAAGAAAAACAAAACCACTTATGTAACCAAGTGGCTGATTCTTCTTTATTTTGATTGCAACAAAGTTCATCTGATCAATCATATAATCACAGATGACAGTAGACCAGTTAAACGAAGCGAAGGTTTGTACATTCTCCCCAAATGCATAAAACCTTGAGGGCACACCGAAATTGTTCGAGGGAAAGAATAAATTTGTTAGTAAAAACTTAAGAAATATTTTCTCAGAAGGAGTAGAAGAATCTCTTGAAAACTTAGTCACATCTTCCTTTATTGCTCTTGCATCTATCCGAGATGAGGGAGTTTTCCTCCAACAAACTAATTCTCCTCTGTTGGGCATGCTTAACAACAACGCAACATGGTCTGGGTGGAATTTTATCAACTTCCCACCCATCACAAAAACTCTTCTTTCATTATTCCAAAATCCCATGATATGCAGAGTCAACACGTTATCTTGGGAGACATGTCAAAAAACTGACTGATGTGTATTTCTCTTAAAATTATCATGGTCTCTTCAGGTGCAATGTGTTTAATAGTATCAAGTGCTCCTTTCACTGTGGAAGGACGACATCTACAATTGAACGTTCTTGCGTTCATATACCTACAACAACAAACATAAGAAAAGAAATATTAGTTAATATATAACATTCCTCATTCACATATTTCATATAACAAATGTGTTATAGATGTGTTACATATGTGTTATTGTCGTGTTATATGCGTTTTATCATTCAGTTATTGTTGTGTTACAGAGGAGTTATTGTTAAGTTACAGTTGAGTTATTGTCGTGTTACATTTGAGTTATTGTCATGTTACAGATGAGTTATTGTTGTGTTATATGCGTGTTATCGTTCAATTAATGTGGTATTACAAATGAGTTATTGTTGTGTTACAAGTGATTTATTGTTGTGTTATAGATGAGTTATTGTCATGTTACATGTGTATTATTGTTGTGTCACAAATGAGTTATTGTGTTATGTTGTTATAATTGTGTTATAACAATATTATACATGTGTTATTGTGTGTTATATTTGTATTATAGCTGTGCAACAATTATTTTATATTGTGTTATTATAGTGTTATAGATGTGTTATTGTGTGTTATCATTGTGCTATTACTGTGTTATTGGTGTGTTATTGTGTGTCATGGTAGTGTTAGCATTGTATTATCATTGTTCTATGATTGTGTTATCAACTTAACACAACAATAACACATGTATAACACATGTATAACACATCTTTAACACAATCATATTAATATAACACAACAATAAACACAACAATAACACACACAACAATAACACACAATAACACATGTATAACACATCTATAACACAATTATAACAATATAACACAACAATAATACACAATAACACATCTATAACACATAATAACATTCATAACACATCCATAACACAATTATAATAACATAACACAATAATAATACATCTATAACACATCTATAACACATTTATAACTCATTTGTAACTCATCTATAACAACATAACACAATAATAACACATCTATAACACACAATAACACGCCTATACACGACTATAACACGAATATAACAAGGTTATAACTACAATTTTTTCTCTAAAATAATCATTGTAGCATATTACCTCAATGCTTTAGGTAGACCGCTAGCTTCTTCTTCCAGACCATTGCCAACTTCCATTTTGTGTGCTAAAGAAAGAAAGACAAAAATGACTTGTTGAATCACTACCTAAACGACTGAGAACTATCATGTATAGAAATGCATTTTGGAAACCGACCTTTCATTTCGAATGGAGAATCAATACCGCCGTATCAGCGAACTAGAAACCGCCGTGAAACCCTCGTATGGAAAAACAATGGAAAACGCCCGAAGCAACCGAAGAGGTGGAAGAACTTCAAATGCGAACCGACGAAAATACTGAAGAACAAAATTGACCTTTTGTTTGTCTCTTTCGAAGAAAATGTCGAAGAACAAAAACAAAATAATGCTCCAAAACTGCCCAAATCTATCATAAAGTTACTTTTTGTCTGTTTTGGGGTTCCAACGGGCTAAATTCGGGCTGGGTTTCACGAAAAAACGCATCTTTTAACGCCGTAATTTGGGTCGGGTCACATTAATTATGCTTTATCTTAAAATTTAATATGCAGTGGGACCTAGTCCACTGACCTCCTCTCATTCGACTCCGCATGCAACTCACCCTGCGAATTCCTGAGACAATAAATTTTCAGTTTGAGAAGGCGTTGCAGGGCGGTGTTGTTGCAACCAACGACGACCCGTCTCTAAAAGTTACTTTGCAAAAAGGGAAAAAATTGTCATTTTACTACTTCAAAAGGAGCCTAAATAGAGAAGAATGAGGGTTTGTTGGCCACGACCATGCGTAGTGGTTTGTTTGTAAAATAAGTGATGTAACACATTATCTAAATGAAGCCAAATGTCTACTCATAAGATCTCAAATAAGAACCTATGAAAAGCTCAATTAAGAGCCCATTCAAGACCCATCACAAAAGCCATATCAAGAAGAAATATTTGAATTTGTAGTTGACTATTTATATTTCAATTTTAGTTTCTAGGATATTTGAATTTTTAAACTTGGAGATTTTTAAGGCTGGTAATAAAAAAATATTAAATCACCAAAATGGTTATCACTTTCTTTCATTAATGACCACCTACCACCCTTTAAAATTTTCTCCTACTTTTAATAATCTCTTATCATCACAATCCTCATAAGTAGAGCTGATATGTAATACTTTTGATTAGTTGTTGAATGAAATATTTGAGTGAGAATTTTCTTCTTTGTTGTTTGGTGCTTGATGACTTCAAGTGTTGCTTTTGTTTGATGAGATTATGTATCTATCTTTACTTTTCTTTTAAGTTATTCATTAATGCTCTATAATGCTTTTAAATTCTTCGCTTATAATATCAATAAAACAACAACAAAAGCCTCACAACCATTCCAAACCTCTCTTTCTTGGTCAAGCAAAAGCATATTAAAATCTAGTTTTATTTCTTAACCCTTAACACCATTGTAAACCCATTCAAAATCACCCATCTACTTCAGATCACAAGTACACATATTAAACTAATCACCAATAATCATTTCTATTCATTTACGCAATCTTAAGCTATTTTTTCAAAAATATATTTCAAATCAGTCTAAACTAGCCTAATCCAGACTAGCCTTGATATTTTAGCCACCATCATCTCCTAAATCTTTTAACATTCTACTAAAACCTCCACAGCACATCATTAGACCTAAACCTCAATAACAAATTTTAATATTTATCTCTTCAAAAGGCCACTCACCTCGTTCTTATTTGGTATCAGAGCGAATTTGAGAATGAGCTAAAACATCTAAAAAAAATTCTATGGTGGAAGCTTTTGAGTTACTTTAAAAAATTTGAGGTCGGTAAATTTCTTCTAATGATAATTTTATCTTCTTTATATAGCTGGAACATCTAGCATGTTCCTTTGCAAAATTATGGTGTAGGCATGAAGTCTAATTAGCGAGCTCCACTACATAGCCTTACTTGCATCCCTTGTGTGAACCTATTCCTAAACTTTATCTTGAGTGAAAACTTTGTTAAGAGAGTGCTTAACTTGAAGAAAATACAACCCTACCATGATGTGATCAAAATATTAAGTATTTTTCTTTACTTTTTATGTTAAATTTTTATAGTAAACCGGTTGCTCATTATGTCAAAATTTGAAGAATTTTATGTTGTCATTCAATTTTTGAGACACTGGCGTCATACCTTTTACATAAAGAGTTTAGTCTTAACTCAACCCTCAAATTTTTTATTACTCAACGAAAGTTAAGTGATTGATATGCTAAATGTTTGAATTCCTTTAAGATTATTCTTTTGTTCTCAAGCTTAAACTTGGAATTGAAGATAAACTTGCTGATGCCTTATCTAATGTGACTTTAACTATAAGCTCTTTAGAACTATAAATTCCAAAATTTTATCGAATCAAAGATGAGTACCCTATGTGTTACGACTTTAATCTAATTTATATGGAAACAAAGTTAAACTTTTGTCTCTTCAAAAAATACTCTTTTATCAATGAATATCTATATAAAGGAAAACTTGTATTCCTAGACTCCACTTAGAGAAATTTTAATCTCTGAGCTGCAGTCTAAATGAATAGTTGGGCACTTTAGAAATGATAAGACTATCTGTTTAATGAAATTCAATTTTTTAAAAACTTCAATTTTTTTGGAGATAATAAGACCATCCGTTCAAAAATTAGTAGCCCAATATTTGATCTGTGAACAAACCAAAATCATTAAACGAAAATTTTGTCAGTATGTTACATTGCAGGTACCCTATAGGCCTTAGGATGATATCTTCATGGATTTTATCTTATGATTACCACACACAACTTAAGGATATAACATATTTTTCATAGTTGATCGCTTCTCAAAGATAGATCATTCTTGCCATGCTCTAAAATTAATGATGCTTCCCATGTTGCTAGATTATTCTTTAAGAAAATTATATGTCTACATGGCCTACCATCAACCATTGTGTTTGACCGTGATGTTCGATTTATTTTATATTTTTAGAAGACTTGAGAATTCATTGGGCACAAATTAAAATTCGGCTCCGCCTTTCATCTTCACACAATTGGGCAAATTAGAAAATCTTTTAAGATGCCTTGTAGGAAAGAGTTTAGGAAATTAGGACTTACATCTACCTACCTTTGAATTTGCATATAATAGTACTACTTTTAGGACAACTAATACTTCACATTTTGAAATTGTTTATGGCTAAAATTCTAAAAGAACCATTAATATAGCTGACATCCCACCTCATGCATTTTCTGATACTGCGTTTTCATTTGCCGAAGATTTTCAAACTCTCCATGAAATCATATGAAAACAAATTACTTTAAGTAATGACCAGTATGTTTCTGAGGCAAATTATAATATGTCAACATGAGAATTTAAAAAAGGTGACTATGTTTTGATTTATATTTGTCCTGAGCATTATCACACCTTTAAATTTAAGAAATTACATGCAATATCTTGTGGCCCATTTAAAATTCTTAGAAAATTTGGATCTAATGCTTATCACCTTAATTTGCCTGTTGATATGCTAATCATCTTGTTATTAATATTGACGATATTCTGTCATATGAAGGAGTTAACAAACCTCCACTTTTTCAGACTAACTCTTTGGCATGAGATATAATTCCCTATGTGCAGGTCCCGTCTTTCCTTGAAGTTGAATGTATCATCACCTATGAAGCTTGTTGAGCATAATTTTCTAGGTCGTTGGAAGAATAAACCACCCATGAAGACGCATAATTGACCCTCACTGATTTGAGACTCTAGCCTAGCAATTTGTAGAAGACTTCTTAGATTTCAAATCCACAGAGAAGAGTTCAATTGAGCTAAAGGGAGTTGATGTAGCACTTCATCTACGGAGAAGAGTTCAATTGAGCTAAAGTCAGGCAAATAATCTACTTAGTGAACGACTAAAGCTTCACTGTCCAGAGCTTGTAGGGCTAAAATT